AAAATATAATCAATGATTATTATTGACAGGTTAACAATAATGTAGAACTTTCCATCAATGAAAACCTAGATAAAGTTATACCAAATAATTTAGATTTATTAGAACAAATTTTAAATATTAATGAAATTGAAGATTTTGAATTATCTGAAACTGATCATTTAGATGATMAAATTATTCAAATACCCAAGTGGGAAAAGGTAAAATAAATTTATTTTTATATTTATTTTAAATTTAATGTTTATAATTATAATATTGCATTAAGGTACCCTGGAATAATACAGAGAATATATGGAAAGGTAGTTTACCAGAACCTCCTGATAATATATTGTCTCCATTTGAATACTTCAAGTTATTTGTTGATAATGACATGATTTGTAACATATCTGAGCAAACAAATTTATACTCAGTTGAAAAATGTGTAGCTACTTCACCAGAAGAAATTGAACAATTCTTAGGAATCCAATTGTAATAATTATTTAGTTTTTTTTTTTWAATTTTACTTTTTAATTTATTATTTTTGTTTATGTATAGGTACATGAGTATTATAAAAATGCCATCATACAGAATGTTTTGGTCTGAACAGACTCGTTTTACAACAGTTTCTGATGCTATGTCAAGGAATCGTTTTGATAGCTTAAGATCAAACATACATTTTAATGATAATAGTAAAATGCTTCCAAGAGAGCATCCAAATCATGATAAACTATTTAAAGTACGCCCTTTTATAAATGCTATACGTGAAAATATGAAAAAAATAAAAGTTGAAGAATATACAGCTGTTGATGAAATAATAATCCCATTTAAAGRGCGTTCAACAATGAAGCAATATAACAAAAATAAACCCCATAAATGGGGTATAAAATGTTTGCTCTTGCTTCGTCAAATGGATTAGTACACGACTTCGAAATTTATGTTGGAAAAGGTACTCTACCTCCATCAGAACATGGACTTGGAATTAGTGGAGATGTAGTGATGCGTTTAGTTGATAGTATTCCTAAACATCAAAATTACAAAGTATAAATATTATTTATTTTTTTATAATGTTTTTAAATTTTGATAATTTATTACTATCTATTACTTAGGTTTCCATGGATAATTGGTTCAATTCCCATAGTTTACAATGTAAATTAAAGTTTTGTGGAATTTTGAGTATAGGAACAGTAAGATCCAATAGAATTGCTGGATGTGTCCTAGAAAGTGACAAAACTCTAAAGTCAAAAGGAAGAGGAACACATGACAGTCAAGTTGATACTGTTAATAATATAGTGGTCACCAAATGGTATGACAACAAAGTTGTTCATGTGATTTCTAACTACCAAGGACCACTTCCAATAAATCAAGTAAAAAGATGGTCTGTAACAGATAAGAAATATATWAATATTCCTAGACCAACATCCATTGCAGAATACAACTCATTTATGGGGGGTGTAGATCTACATGATATGTTGGTAGAAATATACCGTGTTAATATTAGAGTAAGAAGATTTTACCTACGTATTATTTACCATATTTAATTGACATGTGTGTTGTCAATGCATGGCTTTTGTATCGGAGGCACTGTAAGCAACTCAAGATAAAAAAGACTATAAGTTTATTGAAATTTAAATCAGAAGTAGCACATGCTTTATTGCAAGCTGGTAAAAATAAATTAAATAAAAGAGGAAGGCCATCATTATCAACAACACCACCAACTAAAAAAAGAAGATTATTTGCTCCAAGGCCAGTAGATGATATTAGGTTTGATGAAATAGCTCATTGGCCTATTCCAGTTTCTAAAAAGCAACGATGTAAGCATTGTATAAAAAGCTATACTACAAACACATGCAGTAAGTGTAAATTACATTTATGTTCAAAGGTAGACAAAATGTGTTTCATTGYTTTTCATAAAAAATTGTAAYTTTTTGTGATAATTATTATACTTAATCATCAAGACTGATAAAAGTGATTTAACACATTGACGGACAGTTTTCATTTATCTAAATTCCCATAAACTACTTTTAAAACGCACTTTTTTATTACTGCTATAGCAGTAATAATTTTGTTACTGCTATAGCAGTGGTGCTGTACGTACATTGAAAAGTCGATGTAAGTTGATATTACTGCTATAGATGTAATCATTTTTCTAATTATAATACATCAAAATCATAAATAATTTCATAATATTATAAAACCAATAAATCTGTATTATTATTATAAGAAGTTAAATATAAACAATAGTACTTATAATTTTATGATTATAAAAACAATTTAATATAAATATAAACCTCATTGAAAAAAAAAAACTTTTTAATACAATTATAACATTCAATCATATTAATTACCTACAACTTTTTATGATAAGCTTCAAAACAAAATCCAGCACAAAGTGGTTTTGCACATTGCTTGCACTGGAAAGACGTTTGTTTTCTGGTTTTATTGGTCTTGTAGCACTGTAAGCAATTTTTGTAATAAATTGTTCTCTTATAATTTTCTGGTAATGGTATTTTTTCTTGATAGTGATTGGTTGCTGGAGGTATTGATGGCTTTTTCTTTAGTACAAACAGTTCATTTGCAGTCACATTGTTCGGAATATTGAACAAATTTTTTATGAGTAAATCACGAAAAGCTTTAAATTTCATATTTGGAGTGTCAAAATGTTTTTTATAGACAAAAAACGAGTTCCAAACTGTAATATCGAGTAAATGAAAAATTACCTTTTTATACCATTTACATGTCTTTCTTGGACTGCTATAGTAGCTGACCATCTGGTCTGACCGATCAACACCACTCATATAGTTGTTGTACTCGACGATCTCCGACGGTTTGTTCTTTGGTTGGCCGTACCGATTTTCCGACTGTATTAATTTTGGATGTACTCTAGTTGTTATACACAAAACATCACGTTTATCCTTCCACTTACTTACGTAAACATTATTTTTACGTCTCCATACATGTTGTCCTTTTTTTATTTTATTGTCGATTACAACTTTAGGGTTTCCTTTASGATTTTTTCTTAAAGTTCCAGTTGTGTGCGTTTTTAGTTCAAGTAAAGTATTTGAAAGTGTCACACTATTATAATAGTTGTCCATGTATAGAGAGAAACCTTTATTTAGGTAATTATTCATTAACCYTAAAACAATACTATCTATTTTTGATGTCCTAGATGGTACAGTTAATTGTTCTTGCTTTCCTTGGTACATTTCTATGTTGAGCACATACCCATCATATGAAGTGAGTTCGTAAAATTTAATGCCATACCTAGCCTTCTTATTTTTTATATATTGCCTAAATATAATTCGACCACGGTGTAACAATAATGATTCATCTATTGATAAATGTTCGGTAGGAAAAAAAGCTGTCTGAAAATTTTGAATTAATGTGTCAAATAATGGTTGTACTTTCATCATAGGTCCAATCATTTCATTATTATTACGGTTAGTATACTGTWCACTAAAGCAATTAAGTATTTGATCAAACCTCCTGCCAGACATAATGTGATTAAAAACCGGATGGTAATATAATGGGTTTTGTGAAAACATGTCTCGAATAACAGAAAACTTTACTGCTCCACCAAGTAAACAAATACCAAGAAAGCGTTTTATTTCATCTAAATCTACTGGTTTGAATGTTGAAGCTCGTGCATTTTTTTATGAGGTCGATTAGCTTTACTCAAATTTTCCCCATATTTATTAGTTGATTCAATTAGCATGTCAAAAATGTCATCTGTCCAAAATTGAGTAAAAATTTCAATAGGAAATTCACGAGAACTTTCAGAAATATTTAATTTTATACCRCTGAGACTATCATCAAATGCATAGTCTGGAATATCGGCGTAATCTTCAACCCAGCTATCAGTATCAGAATTATCATCACTAGACTCACTTGAACTGTCATCCACCGATAAGTTGTCATCTGAATTTTGATAATTATCTGATCCAGTATGTTCAAGTCCACAGTCATCACCAGAATGAGGTGGCCTTGGTTGTTCATAATTTGGRTCGATATCCGAATCGTCCCCACAAGAAAACGAACTAGAACCACTATCACTCTCATCTAAATAATTTTGAATTTCACTAATCTGTTTTCTGTTCATATTTGAAGCGGTAAAAATATACAAAATATGACAAAAGTACAATTGTTTATGTGTTGTACAAGACGTATTAGATACTAAGCAACTGCACAGTGCGTATATCTGCTGCGTATAATACTGCTGTATACTAGTTCGTCGACCGTCGTTGGTCTGGTTCGACAAAAAAGATAACGCGAGTCAATAGAATTCACAACATAAACAATAATAAACCCGAATTCTAAAAATAGAAAATTGTATTCTTTATTGATATTTTTTACACATAAAATATGTCAGTGCCCAATTATCTAACCAAACACGATGCGGCAGTCTGATGTCTACTTTCGTTTGATACCATTAGAATAAGTACAGCTATAACAGTAATGTCGTATTATGAAATGTTTTACATTACTGCTATAGCAGTCATGCCACCTAACAWCAAAATTGTAAATTACTGCTATAGCAGTAGTGTCCGTCAATGTGTTAAATATTCCTATGTTAATTATTATATTATTAAAATGTTTACACATTTGTTTTGTT